TCGCCAAATTCATCCTACACTGCTTTTTTCCTCCCTTTCTGAGTTCCTCAGCTGAGTGACCTTCCCTCCCACCCGAGGCAGTTCCCAGCGGAGGAACTGGGTATCCCTGTGCCATCTATTTAATTACCTTTACTTGTTTGAAGGAAATGAAAAGATGATATCTGTCCTGCTAAGCAGGGAGCTGGATTCGGGGCTGGATCCCAGGACTGTGGGATCATGACTAGAGCCAAAGAAGAAAGAAGCTTGATGTTGGAGCCACCCAGGTGCCCCTTAATGTTAATTTTAAATAGGTGAATTCAGACTGATAGGACTGCCTAGGGAAGAAAAAGCTGTGGCTTTAACAGTGCTGCAGTCAAGAAATGGACTATGGGTTGGAACCCATTGAAGTTACTGAGATAACTGCAGGGTTATCTCCCTGGAGAAGTTGCCTGAGTATACAGAAGAAAGCGGAAATCCATGTTCTCCCCCAAACCCCACCATTTCTAGCTGGATACAAGATTCTTTTGGTCTGAATACAGTTGAAATCTTCAATGCTGTTATGACTACTCCCACTAATGAGAAAAGCAATGATTAAAATTTTAGATCTGTATTATTTGGCAAAGTGATAAAAATGATTTCCATATACAAAAGAGTGGTTCATGAAGAATAAACTATATTTTTAATAATTTTCCTCTAAACCACTAGGTAGAATATCAATATATTATTTCTGCCTTTTTCTACCTTTTTTCTTAAATCACGTCTGTTAGGTTGAAAATAAAATGGCGATAATTATCCGAATAATTTCACAGAACTTTCCAACTAAGTGACACAATGTAAAAGATGATGAGGACAAAGCACAATATATTTTTAAAAAGATTTTATTTATTTATTTGACAGAGATCACAAGTAAGCAGAGAGGCAGGCAGAGACAGAGGGAAGCAGGCTCCCTGCTGAGCAGAGAGCACGACACAGACCTCAATCCCAGGACCCTGGGATCATGACCCGAGCCAAAGAAAGAGGCTTTAACCCACTGAACCACCCAGGCACCCAAGACAAAATATTCTAATACACCTTTCTTAATGTTCTTGGCTTATGAGTAGATCCAACTCAACAGTCAACTATGGAAGCAGTTATTCTCTGTGAATAGTGTTTTGGACCCAATAGTGTTTTGGACACTGCTATTGGCCTGCTAAACTGTTAGCTGACGCTTAGTCAACAGTTTTGAATGGGAATGAGACTTTTTGTGAGTAAGAAATATAGTTTAAGCTTGGCACAGGATGGAAGGGTTCAACTCTACTATAAATCAGTTTTAAAATGCGATTTCGGGGTGCCTGGACAGCTCAGTCAAGTGTGGGACCTTGATATTGGCTCAGATTCTGATCTCAGAGTTTGCCCCCCATTGGGCTTCCGGCTCAGTGCTGAGTCTGCCTCAGATTCTCTCTCCCTCTTCCTCTGTCTCTCACCCCCTGCTCATGCTCTCTCTTTCTCTCTCTAAAATAAATAAAATCTTTAAAAAGTGTGATTTCAGTGGCTTTGAAAATTGGTCTCATAGTTCTCTTGTTCTTAGTGACATTTGGATTAGCATTCTCTTTTGTTTCCTGGTGACATAGTCTTCCATTTATGGCGAAAATTTCTCTAATTCACTGGATTAAAAAAAAAAATTCTAACTGGGTTTTTCGTTTTTAGCCACTCAGTCACCATCTTTCTGAAAAACAGTCATTCAAAAGAATTAAGGTCATGTACAAGTGTGTTAATGGGAATCCTATGAGTTGCTTCTCCTGTTGGTATGAAGCTAGAGGCACATTATCTGAAAGCACGGGATTCATGGTACCTGGAAGGTCTATAAATCAGTGTGGTCCATTTTGCTTTGTCTGTTAAGACAGGTGGATCCCATTTGCACAGATGTTCTTTCTCTCTCTCTCTTTTCCTCTCTAAGAAGGAAATAAAATATATAGGCCCATTAATCTGCACAGGTCAACCTCTTTCATAGGGCACATTCTTGGAAAAGGTAAAGTTGCAGTTCAAATGTGTATGATATACAAAAAGGGGCAAAAGGCTCAGTCCTTTTCACCTTCAGCAATTATAAAGACCTAAGTATTAATGGAGTTATAAGAATTGTTTATCTTAGGTTACCCTGAAATTTAGGAAAAGATGATATACATTTCTAAAATTAATCCAGTAGGCTTAATTTAGGTCTAAAAACTGGATATAGATATAAGGCCCAAGATTAAATAATCACAAAGATTTAGATGACAGCACATACTCTTATTTTTGTAAGAGAACATTTTACATAAAATATATGTTTGATATACATCATCGGAGTAAAACATTGAGATTCCATTTTGTATATTTAATATTTACATGTTCTTTTGAAGTATTTACAAGTGAAGACACACACAAAAAAGGCAATGCTAATGAACTGCGAAAATAGCCATTGTTTTTATTAAAAAATATTAACAACTACAGAATCAGGCTTGAAGACTGAATTTTAAAACAAACGTGGTATTCACACTGACACATCGCATGAGAATTAATATTCCTTTTTGAATTAGTTTTTCTCATCAACCATTTCTCATCATCTCTCTTTTTAGAAATTAAAATGACTGATGACTGAAGTGAGGGAGAGAATGGAGATAAAGATATTTACAGGAACAGAAGTGTTTCTAGTATTATTTTAGGCAGGAGAGGAAATATTGAGTGAAAGGGTGAGTTCTGGCAGTCTGTTCTAACTGAATAGACACAGGAACAATAACAGGGGAGAGGACACTCATCCTCCTATACATAGAACAAAAAAACAGTGCGAGGCAGCTTTAGCTCACATTAACAGGTGCATAAAATACAAATTAAGTTTTATCATCTATGTGAAGGTAGCATCATAAATGAAATAAGACTCATTATATGTTCTTTATAAGCGCTTCCTGGATTTTTTTTTTTCCAAATTCAGAATTTTCAAGTACACTTCTAAAAGTTTGTTGAAAGAGGAGTGGTGTGTGAATTCGCAGCTGTTTAATATCCCAGCGCTTTCAAGGAATTCTGCTAATTGGTTGCAAAGCCAATTTAAATTGTCTTATCAAACCACAGGAACTCAGAATGTTGTTTGGACTGAAGCGTGTCGCATACAACTTCTATAAATCACAAACCGAATTCTTTCTCGAGGGATTCTGGACGGAGCAATGCGGTAACTGTTAAAAATTTAAATATAGAGTTGCCAAGTGGAAACTAGCAGTTAGTTGAGGAGAAAAGAGGAAAAAAGAATGTTTAGAGCTTTGAAGAGTACTTTGAAAGTCATCTGGAAATACACAAAGGGGGATATTTTCATACAGAGTATATATAGAGATGTAGCAAGTTTGCGAATAGGGTTTCTGTGCTAGGGATTTTCAGGAGTTAGTCATAAATCATGCTTTTTTCTTCTTTAACTTCTCTTTCCTCAAACTGGGTTATAAATACCCTGCGAAACGTGCGCTTCAAGGGGCATGGCTCAAATGTGTGCGCGAATAGGCTACATCTAGGGAGAATGAAGGACGATCAAGCAATGAACCAAACGCACGGGAATAATGAGTGATACTGTAGCTTTTTCCTGTTACTGTAGCTTTTCCTGTTACTGTAGCTTTTCCAATAACAAAATGTTAGTGACGGACAATTGCACTGTAGGTTAGCACATGGCAAACAAATAAGGACTGCATAAAGCATGTATGTATTTAATAATACCTGAAGATAAAAATAAAGAAGGCAAATAAACACAATTCAGATGACCTTGTGAATGCTACACTAGGAAATCACGAAGATTAGCGAGCAAAACACTGGACAAAGAGCTCGAAACAAAAGGAAAGTTTCTCAACTCACAAGATTAAAGTGTTTATTTCCCTATAAAAGGAAACATGAGAAATTGTCATCTTCCTGAAACAGAACGTTCCAAACGGGAGTTGGAAAGGACGACAGTATTGTAACACACGCTGCGAACTGAACGTCTACTCGATCTTGCTGTGTCTTATAATTTTCCAATATGCTTTTAGGGTGGAAAATAAAATCAAGAGGGTTGGATATTTTGAATGAAAAGTCTGATTTTAATAATATGAATCAGGAAACAGTGAAAAACAGAACATTAACACACTGCCTTTATAACTCTCTGTAAAGACTATAGCTGGAGAGGAAGACGGCATCAGAGTCTCTGTGGCGCAATCGGTTAGCGCGTTCGGCTGTTAACCGAAAGGTTGGTGGTTCGAGCCCACCCAGGGACGGCTCTCACTTTTACCCGTTTGTCGCCGGAACTTTTGCACAATTCTGGAGTTCAGACCTACGGACTACGCGGAGGTCGCTCTCCAGGGGTTGAGCGGAAAGAAACCGCAGATCTCGCTTCGCCGCCCACCCTGCGGGTGGCTCTTCAGCTTCCGGGAGCGCTGGAGGCCCCTCCCCCAAACGTCCCCGGCTCCCGAGCGGCAGGTGGGCCTTTCCCGACCACCCCCTGACTCGGGGGTGGGCGAGAGGGTCCAGCGCTTTAAAGCCCCCGCATCCTTTCACTTCCAGTTTTTCAGTTTCCAAACTCAGGCTGCTGAGTGCCCCAAGGGTTCCTCGTCCTCCTCGCTCTTTCCTGAAGCCCAGGCCGCACAGGTCCTTTCCGCGCCTCGCCGGGCTCTCGCGGCCACCGCGAGGCCGGGTGCGGGCGCCGGGCGCCGAGAGCCCGCAGAGGCCGGGCGGGGCCCTCAGCCGCGCGCACGCGCGCCGCCGTGCTCGGGGCTCGAACCCGCTGCCGACTCTCGCCGCAGCCCCGGAGGCCTCCGCGGCAGGACGGCGGCCACCGCTGCTCGCGTTCCGCGTCAGGACCCCTGAAAAGTCAGAGGCAACCTGCATGTATGTATTTCAAGAGTGCCGAGTTCAAGCTGTCCACTGATTTAAAACTCTTCACGTTTTTTCACACTAATGTTGAATCGTGCAGCGTTTGTCTCTTCCCCGTCGGCGTAAACATACACTCCCGTGGAGTGACTTGAACACTGACGCTGTGGTATTGGTGGATGCAGAAATGTTATAAAACCTTTGTGTGGACCCTATCGTAAGAGCATTTCTGTGTTATATGTTGCTTCTTATACTGACGTGCTGGAATTTTATAGAGAATGGAACGGACCTGCAGCCTTTCCCACCTATTCAGAAAGGAAGCAGATGTGTGTGTGTGTGTGTTTAAACAACTGCGTGATTGTGTGAAACTTAAAAAAAAAAAAGAATTATGACAGATTAAAAGTGAAACTGCTAACGTAAATTTTGATTCGATAAGCATATACCCTTTATTCCACAAAATGCAAAACTCTCTCAGAATAGTTACCTCGTCCTTCATTCCCTAAATACAGGCTGCCTTTGAGAAGTAATCCTAGCTTCTTCATAATTATTGTCTTGGGTCTAGATTACAGAAATTTGAAAGACGGTTCTGGAGGAAAGTGATGTTTTATTCCTGCAAATGAGTAGTTATGCTCTTCTTTATATTTTCCTCCAGGTGTACATGCTAATAGAGGCTAGCATTTATCGTTTCGTCCTGGCTCTGCTATTAGTCCCTGCGCCGAGTGCTTTCGCGGAGGAATGTGTGCGAACCTCACAACTCTTCCAGGTAGGTCCTGTTGTTGCCGCCGTGCAGATGAGCCGCCGGAAGCAGGGGGCCCTGGAGTAACTGGCTTTAATTTGCAGCGAGTCGCCAGCACCGTACAGATTGGACCCAGGCAGTCAGGCTCCAGAGCCCAAGCCCCTCGCTGCTGTAACACCTCCTCTAACGAGAGCTACTTGATTAATTAGTTAATTTAAATCCAAAGGTGATATTCTTAATTAGTTTTTATGAAGTTTCATTCATGTTTTGCTCCAAATCTCATTAAAAAAAAAACAACCCTCACCGAACATTCATAGACTACTAAAGGGCATTGTTCAATTACACATTCAATGGGCTGCTTAATTTGATTGAAATGAAAACTGTGTAGGAACATGAAATCTTAATGTGAAACGTATCTTTGGGAAACAATTTGATAGCATTTATGTGGAGGAGACAAGATTAGAAATAAAGACCGGCTGGAATAGCCCAGGCAAAATATGAAAGAGGGATAGAAAAAAGAATAGATTCAAGCATTGGGGGTTAATCTAGAGTCTAAGGGTCCTTAGACCCCAGGCTGATGTTTGGCACTTGGGATAACCATCAGGACCTTGATTTCAGGACACCTTTGTGAGATAGTACCAAGTTTAGCACTGGACAGGTGCCTAGGTGACAGTTTTAAATTTGATCCTAAATTTTAAGTATGTTCTTTCTCTCCCTAGTTTGGGGATTAATAGGATTTAGAGGCCAGAAAATAAAGAGGGAGGATTAAATGAGAATGGAGGTGGGGCAAGGAGTGCAAAACTGCCCTCTAATGTAAGTAGCTGATTTTATTATGTGGGCAAGTGCTTAGCACATTTCCCTGTACTCACTGTTGCTTACAGATAAAACAGGTGGGAAGCATTTTAGAAAAATTGCTTAAAAATTTATGGACGAGTTGCCTTTGTAAAATTTTAATGTATATTGGTTAAAGACATGGCAATAAATAGCATTTCTGGGGAGCATTACTTTGTTCTCAGTTTCTTGCTTGGTTCTGTAATACCAACCAAGCCCAGAAATGTGTTAGGATCATTTAGATCCTTTATGGAAGACTGAAGACCATTTAAAAGGCTATGTCAGGCATTTGAGTATGTAAATATGTTTCTAATCTTGTTAGTAAACAGTTGTATATTTAAACTTCATTTATAAAATCGTAGGAAAGCTCACTAAAGTAATGCAATAAAAGATGAAACAAGTACTGTGGTTTATAAACTGTTAGAGGAGGTAGTATTCGAATCACTTCTAATAATCAATAATTTAAAATATTTTTTACGTTGCAACATTTCTTAGGATAATAGCGGTTAGGAGGTTAGGAGGAAGCCACATGGCTACCGAGTCTCTATTTTCGTTTTAACACCTGTGTCTGATGTCATACGATACAAGGTTTGGGGGAAAGACTTTTAAACTGCTAAAGAAACACAAATGCCTTGTTTCTGCATACATAATACATCGTAACCAGTAATGCTAATGTGAATTTTAATTTCATTTCTCTGAATTTTAGTGGCCATGAGGCCCAAGATGTTCAGTTTATAGCTACAACTGGCAGAGTGGGAATGCATTGGTGGTAGAATAAACTGTGATACATTTAACGAGAAAATAGTTTAAGAAGTTGAAACCTTTTAAATAATGAAGAATGTTAATTTTATCACAGCTCAGCATTTCATTTGTGGTTCTTCAAGTTGAGCCCCTTTGGTAGTAGTATCAGTCATTCTGTTTTTACATATGAAAATAAGTATTGAACTTATAAGAAGGCTGTGGGAATATATTTGTAAAATAGTGGTAAACACCTTAGTTTTAAGTTGTTTTCATAGCTTAAATTTTAAGAAAAGTCATTGAAAATTCAACTGTTTAGACTCATATCTTCAAGAAAACTCTTAAAATATTTTATTTTAAAGGCGGCTCCACATCCAGTATAGGGCTTGAACTCACAACCCTGAGATCAAGATCTGTATGCTTTACTGACTGAGCCAGCCAGACATCCCTATTTTAAAGGAAACTCTTTGTAACTGACATCTTGACCAATAAATAATTATCAACATCCTAGAAAAACTCCCCCTCTTGTACTTCCCCCAGCCATCAAAATATAACTTTTAAATTGTAACCATAGGGATTATGAGGTTACAGTGTGAATTTGAAGTTGTCATAGATCAGGAGTCAAAAACAAATTTACTACCAAACCCTATCAGATGAGTATTTACACCTGAAGATCCAGGAGAAGTAATAAAAATTGGAAATTAGTTTTTCATGACTACTCACTTTAGATCCAATCCTCTACAATAAACTTGGTAAGAATAAATTTGTACTATTAAAGCAGAAAATCTAGGAAATTTACTATTTATTTGAAGTCTTGAATTTTGTCTGTAAACAAACTGCTCTGACTCCCACCTGTTTAAAAATGTGATATATGGGGCACCTGGCTGGCTCATATGGTGGAGCATGTGACTCTTGATCGTGGGATTGTAAATTTGAGCCCCAAGTTGGGGCTTACTTAAAAATAAAATTACTTAAAAATAAAACCTTTAAAAACGTGAAATAAAACAACCTCATGGAAATTACTATAGCATTTAAATTAATTAAAATTTTATTTCTGAAAATAAATTTTAAACTTAAAATCAAGATGAGATTTGAGGTTAAAAGGTATATAGTAAGAGAAGATGACTCAGTAGTTTTCCACATAATATATTCTAAAATCTTAAGAATTTTAATCCAGAGTCCTCTGTTGGAGGAAAACAAATAGTCATCCTGTTATTTCTTGGGTTTTTTTGTTTTGTTTTGTTTTTTAAAAGATTTTATTTATTTAATTGACAGAGAGAGAGCAGCGAGAGAGGGAACACAAGCAGGGGGAGTGGGAGAGAGAGAAGCAGACTGCCCACTGAGTGGGGTTCCTGATGATGCAGGTCTCCATCTCAGGACCCTGGGATCATGACCTGAGCCAAAGGCAGACACTTAATGACTGAATCACTTAGGCACCCCCATCCTGTTATTTTGAAAGTGTAACTAACTATAAAAGAAAATCTAATCTGTATGAAAAAAAGTTTGAAGTTGTGGAAAGTCTTGTTTTTGATACCACTAAGGAAAAGCAACTTAGGAAAGGTCAACATATAAGAACACAGAGCAAAGTTTTACTTTCTTTCTTTAAAGGAAATTCTTCATTGTTATCAAAGGAGTATATGCCTAAGGTTATAATACAAATAACTAAAATAACTGTAAAACTGTAAAATTTAACTACATTATATTTATACATTTATATATTTATACATTATTTTTAATAGAAATCATAAATAAGATAAAATATGCAACACTAATGAAATATATAGTATGAATAAATTATGGTATGTTATTTAGACATTAAGATACAATGTAGCCATTTACATAATATTTTTCAGGAAATATGCCTTTGGGGGCACCTGGGTTGCTCAGTCTGTTGGGCATCTGCCTTTGGCTCAGGTCATGATCCTAGGGTCCTGGGATCGAGCAGCAAACAGCTCCCTGCTCAGAGAGAAATCTGCCTTCTCCCTGTCCCTCTGGCTGCCACTCCCCCTGCTTGTACTCTCTCTCTCTCTCAAATAAATAAATAAAATCTTAAAAAAAATTCATACTACATATACAAACAAATTCTATATTTTATTCTATGTTTTCTAAATAAATAAAATAATTCATAGTATATATACAAATTCTGTATTCTATTCTATTTTTTCTAAAAAAAATTCTATATTCATACTATATATACAAAACAATTCATACCATATATACAAAAGAAATATGCCTTTGGACAATACATATAAAAAACTAGATACAAAACTATCCAAAAACATGATCTCAGTTTTATAATGAGACTGAATAATTACTTACATAGGTGATCTATAAATATTTCTGGATGGTGAATGAAATACACCAAAACAAGATTCTCAGTAATGTTTTTCTTTTTTATATACTATACTTTCTGAATTATCTATAATAAACATGTATGATTTTTATTTTTTTTTAAGATTTTATTTATTTATTTGACAAAGAGAGACACAGTGAGAGGAGAACACAAGCAGGGGGAGTGGGAGAGGGAGAAACAGGCTTCCTGCTAAGCAAGAAGCCTGGTGCAGGACTCAGTGGGGGTCCTGATGCAGGGCTCAATCCCAGGACCCTGGGATCATGACCTGAGCTGAAGGCAGGATTCAGTGGGAGGGCTCAAAGCAGGGCTCAATCCCAGGACCTGGAATCATGACCTGTGCTGAAGGCAGATGCTTCATGACTGAGCCACCCAGGCACCCTAATTTTTAGGGTGTTAACTGACATTTTTGTAACATAAAAATAATACCCGGGGGCACCTGTGTGACTCAGTCAGTTAAGCATCCAACTCTTGATTTCAGCTCAGTTCATGACCCCAGGGTCCTGGGATCAAGCTCCACAGTGGACTCTGCACTGAGTATGGAGCCTGCTTAAGATTCTCTCTCCCTCGGGGCATCTGGGTGGCTCAGTGGGTTAAGCAACTGCCTTCATTCAGGTCATGATCCCAGGGTCCTGGTATCAAGCCCCACATTGAGCGCCAAGTCGGTCTCCCTGCTTGGCCTGGGAGTCTGGTTCTCACCCTCCCCCTACTCATGCTCTCTCTCTCTCACTCTCTTTCTTTCAAAAGGATAAATAAAATCTTAAAAAAAAAAAAAAAAAGATCCTCTCTCCCTACCCACTCTCTAAAAAAAAAATTAATTAATTAAAAAATAAAGATAATACCTGAATTCACACACTATATATGCAAGTTTGAATTCTATTTTTCTTTTTAAAAATTAACACTGAGGGAGAATGGGAAGCTTACATATAAACCTTTGTATATGTGACCAAATGATTTTCAACAACAGTGCACAGACCATTCAAGGTAGAAGGCATAGTCTTTTGAACAGATGGTATGGGGAAAACTGGATTTCCACATTCAAAGGAATAAAGTTGGGTCCTACTTTACATCATATACAAAAATCATATATAAAATCCAATACCTAAATAAGATGGAAAATTATAAAACTCCTAGAAGAAAACATAGGGGAAATCTTCATGACGTTGGATTTGGCCATGATTTCATTGACACGATACCAAAAGCACAGGCAACAAATTAAAAGTAGATAAATTGAACTACCTCAGAATTAAAAGCTTCTGTGCAAATGAACAACACTATCAACTGAGTGAAAAGGCAGCCCATGGGATGGGACAAAATATTTACAAATAGTATATCTGATAAAAGGTTACACTATCTAGAATATGGAAAGAACTTCTGTAACTCAACAATAAAAAAAAACCCAATTAAAAAGTAGACAAAGCACTCAAGACATTTCTCTAAAGAAGATATACAAATGGCCAGTAAGTACATGAAAAGAAGCTGAACATCACTAACCACTCAGGGAAATGCAAATCAAATCCACAGTGAGATAGCACCTCACTTGCATTAGGATAACTACCATTAAAAACAATAGAATAATAACAATGAGCAGAAAATAACAAGGGTTGGCGAGGTCATGGAGAAATTGGAACCCATGTGCACGGTTGGTGGGAATGGAAGATAGTGCAGCCACTATGGAAAACAGTATGGTGGTTCCTCAAAAAATTAAAAATAGAATTACCATAAGGTCCAGCAATTTTGCTTCTGGTACATAACCAAAAGGATTGAACACAGGATGTCAAAGAGGCATTTGTACACCTATGTTTGTAGGAGAATTAGTCACAGTAGCTAAAATGTGGAAGCAGTCCAAGTGTCCATTGCCAGATGAATGGCTAAGCAAAATGTGTTATATACAGACAATGGTATATTATTTTGCCTTGAAGAAGAAGGAAATTCTGACATCACAACAACATGGGTAAACCTTGAAGACTTTCTGCCACAAAATCAACCACAAAAATACAAATACTGTACGATGCCACTTATATGACGTACATAGAGTAGTCAAATTCCAAAACAGAAAGTAATGTGGATGGTGGTTGCCAGAGGCTGGGGGAAGGGGAGAATGTGGAGCCGTGGTTTAATAGGTGTAGAGTGTTTTGCAAGATGAAAAGAGTTCTGGAAGCTGGTTGCACAGCAATGTGAATGTCCGTAATATGACTGTACACTTAAAATGATAAAGATGGCAAATTTCACGTTCTGTATATTTTTACTGCAATTAAAAATTTTTAAAAATTATTTTGAGGGGTTTTGTTCCCCTCCTTATTTAAGATCTATTATAAATTATATAAGACATTGGAGTATTGATGCAAGGATAGCTAACTAAGCCAATGGTAACAATTGAGAACCCAGAACCATGCTTAAGGACATTTAGTTTTTTGAGAAGGTGGGCTCTGAAGGAAAGGGGAGGATGATTCCACGCTCAAGTGTGTGTTGTGCAGGGTTTCTGGGTGGCTCAGTTGTTAAACGTCTGCTTCCGGCTCAGGTCATGATCCCAGGGTCTTGGGATCGAGTCCAGCATTGGGCTTCTCGCTCAGTGGGGAGTCTGCTGCTCCCCCTGCTCATTCTCTCTCTCTCTCAAATAAATAAAATATTAAAAAAAAAGAGGGATAAATTACTTGTTCAACACTCATCCAACAATGATGAGGCAGGAACAGGAAAATCAGAATAGCCCAAAGCGGGAAACAAGAGACATACACCGATTCATAGAGAAACTTTGCAGTCCAGCTGGGCATATACAGTCCTTCACTGTAGACCAGTCCTGATCTGTGAGAATAGTTCCCAAACCTCTTGCCTCTACCCTGAGTCATTCTTCCCTTTCCATAATGAATGGAAAGCTGGACAGTTTTCTGAGTCTGCTTACTACCTATGAAAGCTTGAAAGCCCAGAGACCACTTTTCATGATGAACTCTCTCTATCCCTTTCCATCCAAATGGATTCAGTTCCTTTAAAAACACTGCATTTTGTGTGGATCAACTCATAACTCCATTTGGTGAAAGCCACACCTGCCTTCTTTCTGGAACAGGACTGTGAAATAGCTCTGGAACAAGTTCCTTATGATTCTTAGAAGCCCTGTTGTCTGGCTGCGAGGCACGCCCTCAGGATTTCTTAGAAGGCTTTTTGTTCAGCTGAAAGGCTCATGACACATCACCTGAAATCTTCCTGGGGTTTCACCAAAGTGTCTTCTAGTTCCACCCTTGATCTGAATGTTACACTTAGGCACGTTTCACTCCCAGCGTCCTGGATTTGATCTTGTTTCTCCTGAGTCCATTTTACCTTGAGACACCTGCTTCATCTGAGAGACAGCCCTGCTTTCAAATCCATTAAATCCTGGTTCCCTCTCAATTCGGCTTGAAAACTATACTTCCTTTTTTTGCTTATCTTCCTTGTCATGTATTTTTTTCACAGGCAGCTAAAAACAAAACAAAGCAAAGCAAAGCAAAAACAGTTGGAGCTTTTAGCAGTTCTCTGCCTATAAATATCCTCAGCCAGACCTGTGAGGTCCTCAGGTACCTTTTCTATTTCCCGCCTTACTGCAGGTGACAGTTTCACCACTGTGTTGTGTGTGTGTGTGTGTGTGTGTGTGTGTGTGTGTGTTTACATCACATACTGTTAATCATCACTACTCGAGTCCCTTTCCTTCAGTCTCCAGTAGCCATCTAGTCACTGTCTTTCAAGCCTTTACTAATGGTCTCTTTAAGGAGCTCTGTCTTCTGTTGACCCCTTGGTCCCAAAGTTAACACCATATGTTTTTGCTTTTTGTTAAGGTAGACACCTTATTTGCAGATACCAAGTTCTGTTTCAGGGATCTATGGTTGCGTAATAAGCCACGATAAAATTCAGTGGCTTAAAACAACAACTGTTTTATCTCTTGATTCCATGAGTTGACTGGGGCTCAGCTAGTCAATGCCTTTCCTGGTGCTGCTTGGGGTCTGTCATGTGTTTACAGCCAGATTGGGGCTGGGACTAGATTTCTGGCACTTTAGGCTCCTCGATGTGGCCCCTTTCTCCACATGGGCCTGTCTCTCCAGTAGGGTAGCTCAGAGAGGAAGGGAGTGAAAGAGGCTAAGCATTCCTAATGTCTGGGCACAGAAGTCTGAAAATGTTCTCTGCATTCTGCTGGTCAGAACAGTTATGGGTTGTGCCCAGATCCACAGAAAGGGGGTGCAGGCCCTTCCTGTTGATGAGCATAGAGACATGTACACTGAGAATTGCAGAATTATTTGCAGAATTATTTGGGGTCTTCTTTGAGGACCTGGTACCACATCAATCTTCTGATCTATTACCTTTGTAGCCTCAGACTGAGCAGCCAAGCCACTCACCATTACCATGAGTCTGTATATATTCTTACCCTGGGCTATGTCTGTCTCCATATAGAGGTACCCCCCGAATGAAACTCTGTCCATTGAAAGGCTTGGTCCTCATTGCTGCCTTTCAGGGTTACTTCTGAGTGGGGCACAGAATAGTTGCTGTACATTTTTTACTTGCATCCACATACTGACCCATTGTGACTACAGACATTTTCCTCCTTTGTCATTTGGTCAGAAGAGACCACCTCCCACCCTGACCCCCTGACCCCCAATATGGCCACAGATATGACTGTGGGAGATGCAACACTGGTGGGTGAAATGGGGGTTTAGGTCACCTGCCCATGTGGTTTGCTTATCTCCTTTCACCCTGACCCCAGATGTATCACTTCCTTTTACAGTGGATTGTTGCTGGACTTGCTCAACCTTGTAACATTGCGGGTCTGATAGAATCCAGCTCAGGATGGGCAGTTCCAGTCTCATGATCACTGGATGACCTATGGTCAGGCATTCCGTTACCAGGGTCCAAGAGGTTGTTCAAAGGTGGTTTTGTTTTGTTTTGTTTTTTTATTTTTAGATTTTATTTATGTATTTGAGAGGGGAGGGGCGAGGAGGAGGGAGAGGGACAAGCAGAGCCTGTGCTGAACATGGAGCCCGACTCAGGGCTTAATGCCCAACCCCGAGATCATGACCTGATCCAAAACCAAGAGTTGGATGCTTAACTGATTGAGCTACCCCGGCACCCCCAAAGGTGGTTTTTAAATGATATAAAACCATTTGCTACAGATAGCATGGCCTTGGTCCAGAACTGTGGGGTCTGTATCGTGATTCTCATTTTCGGAACTGCCATTAACTCCACAAGGCATCTTTTCCTATCAAACAAAGACGTATCTGATACCACAGGGTATGTTGAGTTGAGTGGTCTAAATGGCAAGACAGCTTGCATTGCAGCCCAGATTTCCTGCAGTGCCCTTTCCTGCTCTAGACCCTACTCAGAACTAGCAGACTTTCATGTCACCCAATAAATGGGTGAGACAGTGTTCTTGAGTGTGGCCCCTGAGAGCTCTAGCAAGCATTTTGCTGTTTTCTTAGTGGCGGGAATTGTGAGATCCAACACTTTTGACAATTACTTTTGGAAGGGTTGCTTTAGACAATGGGATTCCTTATAACTTTGCTGCCGTGCTGGCCCTCTCTGTGGGATTCATTTCCTACTTTCTGGATCACATGTGTATTACCAATGCCTCCAAGGTGCTTTTCCTTTTTTCTTATCTGGGCTCCCTGACATCTGTCATCGGTAGAGCAGACCACCATGATGTTCTGCATATCTGGATGGTGCGGATCCCCTCAGATCATATTATGATCAGGGGTGAGAGAATTAACCTACCCCTGGAGCTAGACTGAAGACACATTCTTGTGTCTGTCCCACATGAACAAAAACTGCTTCTGACCTTCCTTCCTGGTGAGATGACCACATGCCATACACTTGAGGTCATGGTACCACTGGGGCCACTACTTAATAGGTCACCTCCAGGAATCATGTGGTTTTGGGAAAGGTCAGGCCAGTGAGTCAAATGGTGATATGGTAAGGACCTCCACAGCATCCTTTGAATGTTCAAGGGGGCAGTAATCTCGGCCATTCTCCTTGTGACATGATTTTTGTTTGTTTGTTTGTTTACCAGCTAGCCTGGGGGTAGGAGGGGGCACTATCAGAGCTTCTGTGTGGCCTTCCCCAGAGGGTAGTTCATGCCCCAGAGGCCAAGGAACCAATGTGGGGCTTTGTGCCAACTACCAAGTATATCCATTCCAATTATACATTTATGCATTCAGCACTGCTGTGTGGTTCATGAAACCAAGATGCCCTGCGAAGGCGCCCACTCTAACAGGAGTGGAGGCCAGTGGGGATGGCATGGGGAGCATGACGATAGTTTGGGTTGTTGGGTATCAATGTTAATTCCGACTCTGTGTGCTTGAACTCTCTGGGAATTCCTCTTTCCCCAGTGTGCCATAATAAATGACTGTATGTCCCTGTGGGGCAGAAGGGTTGGGAGAATCTTTATCATATATACTGAACATGAGTGACAGGATTCTTCCTCCTGGGGCCCAGTCCGTCCTTCAGTCAAGTCAGTGGGTTTTCAGGCCGAGTAATGACTCAGATCCAGAAACCAGGCAGAGTACAGCAGTTTTGTTTTTTTTTTTTTATTGGGTGGCTACCCTCAGCCTCCTGAAGAGCCATCCTTGACTCCTTTTGATTGCATGGTTTGACCAGTATGCTTACTGGCTGCTCATCCATCTTGTCCTTAACGTTGCTATGCTATTAAGCATCTCCTTATCTCAGTGGGTCAGACCCCTATGCCTTCAGTCTAACCTTGTCAGTCATTACAGTAATTGCCCACCATCTGCCCTCCATTACCTCAGGACTCTATCACCCGATTGCTATCAGGGAAACCAGTTCTGTAAGTGCATTCCCAGTGTCAGCCCAAGAAGTCATTACAGAAGACGACAATGCTGACTTTCATCATGACACTGGTACCCCTCATCCCAGTGCCTTCCCTGTTTATTAAACAGAGTATCCTCCAGGCTCTGCCACAGAGTTGTTGGTGGGTAAGTTTTCTGGCTGGAAACAGCATAACCACTCTAGAACACTTTTCTGTACACTGAAACTTTTTTTTCTCCTGGTTGCTCTCACATCTCTGGAATTCCCTCCTCAATGACTGTAGCTGGGTTTCCTACCAGCTTCAGAGAGCCAGTGTTAGTCAGCATTCTCTCCCAGGGTGCTTGGCAGGTTGTAGGTCATAGGATTGTCAATACTGATCAGCTTTCCTTCATCCAGCTTTCCTTTCTACCCACTTTGATTCAACACCCTCAAGATCTGCCCCAATTACACACTCTGGGCTTCTGCTGGTATGTGGTAGCTTGGTCCTATGGTCCTTTTGGGGGCATAATCTCTTCTCTCCCTCAGCAGAATGGATCATGCTGTGCCTTAACCCTACTTATTTGATGTCTAGGAGGGGAGGTGGGATATCTAAGGGGAATGCCCGTGGTCTTACAAGGTAGAGGACTCTGATTGTCTTCAAGCACGGAAGGAAGCTGGCCTTTTATGGGAGGGATGGGCCACTTCTTCATACCCAGAGGCTGAGGAAAATTTAGGAAGTCAAGATGTCCCCATCTCATGTCTTAGGACCAGCTCTGTCCCAACAGGTCCTAACTTTGGTTGGTAGATTGGCCTAGCTTGAGAATTCAACCTCTTCTTAAACTCTGCTATTCTTATAATGAGTCCTGGGCTTGACCCTCACCCTTTTCTGGTCTCTGCTCATAGGAGATGAGAGTTTCTTTATATGGTGCCAAAGAGGCTGTCTGACTTTCATGCTCACACTTAATTGGTGATTAGTTAACCTCCACCTTTCATTGTCCATCTCTAGTTCATCCATAGTCCTCAGCAACAGCCAGGTTCATAATCCTTGTAATTACTACTTTCTCTGTCTCTCAAATTCCTGAGATACTGCACTTGCCAGTGCATTCCCTCTCACCAGCGTCTTACCCCCCATTCACATGGTGACCAGTTTAATAATTAATTGCACCACTACCTCAGGCCAGAGGTAGCGTCTCTGTCTGCCACCATTGAGGGTCTTCATTGCCATCTGGCCGGTGGGTGATCCAGCTCCGAAATATCATTTTAAAGCCTGCTTCCGAGGCCCACTTCCAGCTCTAGCTGCTGCAGCTCGGGTGACCTGGGGAACCAGCGCTCTGAGATTTGCATGTAGAAATTTACTGAGGAATGCTCTCAGGAATAACTCCCTTGAGGGAACAAGAGAGATAGTTTTGGGCAAAGAGAGAAGTTGAACTGTAGTGCAGTGACAAAAGCAGCCTCTGCTGATTCTACGGGGAACTCTGAGGCTGAGTAGGCTTTCAGAGATTGTACCAAATCAAGGCATGGGGGGATTGGGCCTTTGTCTCCTTGCCTTGACCAGCCATTGGATATGGGCTGCCTTTGATGGAGGGGAATAAACTTAATGCGAGGCAGCTTCCTTCAGCTAAGGGTAATTCCAGAGGATGAATTCAGCTGTGAGCCAGCAGCAGCCAGTACTCCCAGCAATGGTCTTGAACCCAAAGGAGGTCTGGTGGAGTGGGGCACAACA